TATGAATTAAACTGATTACTTAATTATATGATTTGCGTGCTATGCTTTATTTCAATTTAAATTTAAAAAAATTGTTATGCATGTTAATTGATTATGCTATATTGATGAATTTATGTTCATAGAATTCGCATGATATAAATTTTTTAAACTTTTGCTGCGTATGCATATCGATTCTCAAGACGCATTCCATAACTTCTTATTAGGGGTCCAATAGTAGTTTAAGAGCTTATAGAATGTTTAAGAGCTTTCAAAGTACTCCCACCTTTTTATTTAGGGCAAATGGCAAATAGGGCCATGACAAGGGGACTTAATTAAAAGAGGGACATCCAACTTTTTTGTCTTTCAAATAAATTCAGTTCATTCAAACTTATTTGCAATCCTTTTATATATACCAAAATTCTACCCAATTCATTGAAACCCAATTCAACTTCAATTTCATGATTTACACCCCAATTTAGCCCAATTTCATCAATTAACCAATTATAACCCTAATTTCAATTTTGACCTTAATTTTGACCCGCCACCACCGGAGACCGCCGGTCGCCGCCGTTGACCGCCGGTCTGCGGCGTTGACTTTTTTTTTTTTTTTTTTAAACTTTTTTTTTCGGGTAGGTCAACTACCGCTGACCGCCAGGTCTCCGGCGTTGACTTTTTTTTTTATATAATTCTGTTTTTTTTTTAAGAAAAATATTTTAATTAATGTCACTGTCTTGGCTGCTAAATTACTGTCTCCATCAGTTATTTAACTGTCAGAGACAGTAATTTAACTGTTAATTTGACTTTTTTTTTCTTCAAAAATATTTTTAATTAATATTACTGTATGCGTTGCTAAATTACTATCTCCAGCAGATATTTAACAGTTAATTGACTTTTTCTTTTAAATATTTTAATTAATATTATTGTATTCGTTGCTAAATTACTGTCTCCAGCAGTTATTTAACTGTTGGAGACAGTAATTTAACTGTTAATTGACTTTTTTATTCTTAAAACAAATATTTTTAATTAATATTATTGTATTCGTTGTTTAATTACTGTCTCCAGCAGTTATTTAACTGTCGGAGACAATAATTTAACTGTTAATTGATTATTATTTTTTCTTAAATTTTTTTTCTTAAAAAGAAATATTTTAATTAATATTATTGCCTTGGCTGCTAATTACTGCCTCCAACAGTAATTTAACTTTCTTAGACAATAATATTACTGTTCGGGAAAATAATATTCATAGTATTACTGTCCCAAACAGTAATATTACTGTCTAAGATAGTAATTTAGTAGCCAAGACAGTAATATTAATTAAAATATTTTTTTCTAAGAAAAAATAAAATTCGAAAGAAAAAAAGCCAACGCCGGAGACCGACGGTCAACGGTGGTTGACCGGCCGGAAAAAAAAAAGTTTAAGAAAAAAAAAAGTCAACGCCGGAATCAGACCGGAAAAAAAAATTCATAAAAAAATTTATTTTCTGTAAAAAAAGATAGTTTGGGGTTAATGTGATATATTTGTTTAAATCTGGGGTCAATGTGTAATATTAAAAAAGTTAGAACATAACAAATGGAATTGATAAGAATTATTTTATGGAGGGTATTTTAGACTAAACACATGGAAATGTGTTTAATTGAGAGACTGTTTTTTTGTGGACCAATGTGCATTTAAGTCCATATGATGGGCCTTTTTGCCATTCGCTCTTCTACTTAAGATCTTATAATAAATAAAAATAATGGTAAATTACAATCACCCCCTGAGGTATGATCAATTTACGAAAACCCCCTCTTGTTTGGATAATTACATTCATCCCCTCAACTATATTTTTTTCTTACATCTCTCCACCTTTATGGTGTCAAGTTCAACATAATCATCTAGATCTTGTAGAATGCGCTCTAGTTTGTACTCGTTTTGTGTAAAAATATTGTCTGATGCACCACAATCTCATATATACAAGCCAAAAAACACATATTATGATCATCTTGCTTCAAAATGTGGAGTTCGAATGGGATAAAACGGGTACAAAAGTGATAGTATTCCATATAATCTCGAAGATTCCACTAAATTTGAATCATCAAGGGTGGACGTGTAAAAAAATTTATAGTAGAGGGGTGGTTGTAATTACCCAAACATAAGGCGGTTTTTCGTAATTTGACCACACCTCAGAGATGTTTGTAATTTATCCTAAAAATAAACTTCCCAAACGGGCCTTAGTGAACCATCGGAAAAAGTAGGGCTGTGCGTTGGTTGGTTTGGTTAAAAACCGGGCATAAAACCAACCCAACCCATCCAACCAACTTTGGCAAATATTGGAAACCGTTATCGACCCAACTTACATGGGTTGGGTGATGGTTGAAAACCAATTTAATGGGTTGGTTGGTGGTTTGGTTGATGGTTCATCCATCTAAATATTTTTTTAATTTTTTTTAATATTTTATTACTTGTTACAACGCTATATCTTTTATAAATTAAATGCGACTAGTTCAATAATATTCAAATAAAAGATTCAAAAAACATTACGGGCATATATATTGCAATTAAACATAAATGGTTCAACAAATAATAATCGTCCAAATATTTAGACTGTATATCTTAAAATTAAAATAGTTAAAATTAGATAATTAGGTTAGATTTATTGCTTTTAGGATTTTAGTCAATATTAAACAATTTAATAAATGTGATATAAAATAGAAATTTGAAATTAAAACTATTAAATATTTTAATGAAAATTAATAAATAATAAATTAATGAATAAAGTTGGTTGGCCGATATTAACCGACTAACCAACTTTTTAGTATATTAGAAACCATTATCGACCCAACTATACATGGGTTGGTTGACATTATCGACCCAACTTAAATGGGTCGGTTGATGGTTGATTAACCATCACAAATTGTGGGTCGAAAATGGGTTGGTTGATGGTTAAAACCGATCCATGCACAGCCCTAGGAAAAAGTGCTTAGAGCGGCCCAAGAACAGTTATTAGTATTTAGTTCTTTTAAAATCGTAACCTAGTATTTATTTCCTTCGCAGATCAGTTCATTGAAAAATAAAATTTTAAGCGCTCCGACGAAATTCGCACCTTGTTTTAATTAATAATTCAAAATTGATGGTGGGGAACCCAATTCATCAGAAATTTCAACCCAACCAGGTGCGCTCTCAAAATTGCTCGTGCATATTCCTGTTTGTGCTATCGAAGTAGAAATTGTATTGGGATTTGAAAGTTGTCTAAGTTGTCAATAGGGAAAATAAAATAAAAAATTAAGGGTCCGTTTGGCAAAACTTATTTCAAACAGCTACTAAGCTCTTATGTATGATATTTAAGATGTTTGAAGAGTTGATAAGCTATTGCATTTTATTTTTTAAATTAATTTTTAAAGGGTTCGGATAATGAGTTTATTTGCTATTTTTATTTATTATATATCTTAAAAAAAATGTGGGGTAGAGATATTTATTAAAATGATCTTATTTGCTCTCCAATAGCTTATTTTTAAAAAAAATAAGATTTTTTTTTTTATAATTACAAAACACCTTGGAAGAGATTATAAACACTTATTAAGCTCTTGAGCATCCTTTAAGCTCTTTTTAACATCTTATAAGCTTAGCCAAAAACGAACTTATAAGCTTTTAAATCAAGTTTCATCTTCAAGAGTTTGAATAGTAGTTTTCCGCTTACTGCATTTTTTTTCTTTTAAGTCTGATAGTATTTCATTTTGTTTAATAGTGTGCAATGAGATGCAACGGTGATAATAATGATCGAATAAGTGAGTTGCCGGACGATATTCTGATGGCTATAATACATCTGCTACCGATGAAGGAAGCTTCACGTACAACTGTTCTTTCATCACGCTGGATATACTTGTGGAAAAATATCTCGTCCCTTGATTTTGATGAAGAAAGTGCGTTGGTCAAGATTGCAGATAACCGCAAGTTAAGCAATGAAGAGAGCCTCAAGTTTGTAAAATGGGTGAATTGCGTCCTCCAATCACATAAAGCATCCCCATTGAAAGAATTCAGAGTGCGTTTCGATTTAGGTGAAAACTTCAAGAATGCTATAACTAAATGGCTTGAATTTGCGTTTGCGAGAAATGTTGAGAGGTTGGAGTTGGACTTTTCACCCATAATTTATAGAGTCGGGATAGTGGATGATACATGTTATGTTTTCCCGAACAAGTTCCTTAAACCCCATTCACAAAGTTCCTCTGTTAACTTTAAGTCCCTCAAACAATTGTCTTTGAAATCTGTTATTGTGACTCGTAAAGTTATTGAGTTCTTTCTATACAACTGCCCTCTGCTCGAAAAATTGGTTGTTCGTTACGTAAGTCAGATATCAAATCTTGAAGTTTGTGGTTCATCGCTTGCTTTAAAACACTTGGAGTTAAAACACTGCTACGATTTGAAATCAGTTAAGGTTTCTGCTCCAAATCTTACTTCACTTTGTATTCCTAAAGTGGAAGGACTCTTTCTCGAAAATGTTCCAGCACTTGCTAAGGTATCGGTTAACTGTATAATTGATCAACATTCTGTCAAGAATTTACTTCCGACACTTTCTTGCTGCATTTTGCAATTGGAGATTCTTATCTTGAACCTGGATAACGACATAAAGGTTAGACAACGGAGTTGTGCTTGTTATTTCTTTATTTTTCATTTATACATAATTACGTTTTGGTATGTTTTATTCCACAGAAAATATTTCTACCCACGTTTCCTCAACTTCCTAAACTGAAGAAGTTGGTCATAAAATTTCGGGCAAAAGGTGAGCAAAGTCTTATGGGACTGACCCCTTTGATAAGGGCATCTCCCAACTTGCTGGAATTTGTTTTAAAGGTATGTTTGCTTTCATGTTGTTAATATATACCTCTTCCATGTTATTTAGTTTTTCAATTGTCTATCAAATATATATACTACCTCTCTTTATCATGTGCTTATGAGCAATTATATTTTCTGTAGTGGACCTTTGTTTTCTTTTACATAGTAGCAATATATTTATCTCTTAGATTTCTTTTTTCTCCATTTGCAGTTAAGGGTGTGGGATCATTTGAGGTCAAATGAAGAAGTGAAGAATTCTATAAAGTTTCCCCACGAGCACCTTAAAGTGTTCCAGTTTTGTGGCTATTACGGTCGCTCCAGTGATGTTGAATTAGTCGGATACATTTTAGATAATTGTATGGCGCTTGAGAAATTAGTTATTGATCCACGTTATCCACGTTATCCATTTTTTTTCTGTGGAACACCATCAGATACCGAATTAGTTGAGGAACAAACTTCAAGGGATTACGCTAAGGAACAACTTGAAGCACAAGTACCTCAGCACATCGAATTTGTCATTCTTTAACTTAATTCTATAGGCAAATATAGTAGTGTTGTGGTGAGAACTTCCCAGGTGTTGTCTGCTCTAGTCGTCATTGATACTTTTTGCACTAGTCGTCTTGGTCTAGTCGTTACTGATAGTTTACAATGTGGTAATCTAATTTCATGGCCATTTTAGGCAACAACAATCCTACTCACTTTATATTCTTCATTCAGGACCACAAACGTACAGTCTTCTCTAATAACATAATTGAATTGTTAACAAAGACAAAAATATATAATTGCTTACGCTGAAGATGATTGATGTGATGAAAGAGAGGACAAAACAAATAATAATAATTTCTATAAAGTGAGAGTGTTCTTCGATGTCCTTGGTAACATGTATAAATAGAAAAAAATATGGGGTTGAGATGGAGAAATATTTATATATAGGGGTTTTTGTGCATAAGTCCCCATCCAAACATCTTTATTATTCTAGGTTTAGGGGCTATATGGCCCTTTATCTCTTTCACCAATAAGCACATTCATTTAATATTTATTATAAATAAAGGAAACATTCATGTATATGACAATATTACCCCCAACCCTTTATACCCAATTCTTAATTGTAACCCCAAAAATCCAATGTTGACTTTTATTTTCAAAAACTTTTTATTTTCAATTTTTTTTTGTTGCCGGATTCCGGCGTTGACTTTTCGTTTTTTTTTTCCTTCTAGATTTTTTCACCGGTTTCCAGCGTTGAGTTTTTTCTTTTTTCTGGTATGTTTTTTTCCGCCGCCTGATTCCGGCGTTGATTTTTTAGTGTTTTTTTTTAGTTTTTTCTGTATTTTTTTTATGGTTTTGTTTGTTTTTTTTTACCTCCGCCGCTAAACGTTTACCGTAATTGTGCTGTCAATGACAGTTAATTAACGTAATTGTATTGCCTTTGACAATACATTTATGTAATTGTTCTGCCGTTGACCGTAAATTAACGTAATATTATTATTTTTTTTTTTTTTTTATTTTGTTTGATTTGTTGACAAGTCAACGTAATTATATTACTGTCGTTGACAGTAAAATAACAGTGAACACAATAAAATTAATGTCAACAACATCAATATTATTATTTTCTTAGGTTTTTTGTTTTGTTTGAGTTATTCACGGAGTAACGTAATAATATTACTGTCTATTATTGTAATATTACTGTAAACACAATAATATTATAGTGGTTGACGGTAATATTAATGTTGTTATAGTAATATTGTTGTCAACCACATCAATATTATTATTTTGTTTTGATTTTTTTGTTTGTTTGACTTATTCACGGAGTAACGTAATAATATTACTGTCTATTATTGTAATATTACTGTTGTTATAGTAATATTACTGTCACTCACAGTAATATTAATTCTTTTAGCTTTTTATTATTTTTACATTTGTTGAACGGTCAACATATTAATATTATTCTATTATACAATAATAATGAGTTTTGATGTGTTAATATTTCTGTGTTAGAGATTAATATAGCAATATTGCGTTGTTAAAATGTAGTTTAGTTAATTTTAGGATTAAATACACTTTGCACCCCTGTACTATCAGCACTGTCGCATTTGCCCCCCTGAACTACGAAATGCGACGAAATGACCCCTCACATTACCAGTCAACTGTTAGAACTTTAACACCGTTAGTTTGTGTTGTGTAAATACCTTTTTACCCTTACCTTATAATACAGAAAACATCAAAACAACATTTTCTAACCATTTTTCGAGACAATGTAACTGAGAATTTTTTCTCCTTTCCCTTTCTTCTTCTCCATTTCGAATGAACACAAATTCTCCATTTCTAAAGCCATTTAAAGAGAATCTGCTTTAGACGAAAAACAGTTCTCTGATTACACCTTATTTTTATGGACCCCCAAATTCAAGAATCTCCTTCATCGATGATTTCTTTTTATTTTTATAGTTGCAGCAACCGCAATAGACTGTTGGAAATGGTTTAAAAATCAGAGCAACCCAAGAAAGTGGGTGCAGAGCTTAGAATTGTTTTGAAGAATTATTGCGAATATTTTTTTTCTTTTGTTCAATGAATGCTGTTTTTATCTTGTTGCTCTTAATTTATGTTTTTATGGTGAGGTATTTTCGGGATAATTAAAATATAATAAAATAATTCTGAATTTAATTGAAAAACTTTAATTTTGCGGAAAAGTATATATTAGAAGATGAAATAATTGATCTTAATTTACGTATCAAAAATTCAAAAATAAAATAAAATCAAATATTTACGTATTTTTTATATTTAATCAATTTTTTTAATAGAGTACTTTTATTTTTCTTTAATTATTTTGTCATTTTTATGAAATAATATAACTTTTTTCTATACCTTGTGGTTTTATATTTTTCGGAAGGGTAAAACTGTCACTAGAAGGTCAACAACTTTGGTCAATGTGCCACATCATCCATGATAAACGGAAAGATAACGAATGCTAACAACAGGGGTTTTTTTGTCGCATTTGATAATATTGGGGGGCAAATGCGACGGTGGTGATGTAGAGGAGTGCATATTGTATTTAACCCTTAATTTTACTGTGTTTAATAGTAATATAGTTAATATTACTATCAATCACAACAATATTGTTGTTTAAACGAAAAAAAATGTTACATAAAGAAGACAAAAAAAAAGTCAAAGCCTGAGCGAAAAAATCCGGAAGAATAAAAAAATTCGAAAAGTCAACGCCGGAATCCGGCGGCAAAAAAATGTTTTGAAAAAAAAAAGTTTTGGGTCAAAATTGAATAATTTATGAAATTTTGGGTCAAATTAAGGTTAAATTAAATTAATGATGAAATTGGAGCATGTTAAAGTATGAGGGACTATTTTAGTCTTTTACAAAAATCTTAACCATGTGCGGACTTATTTGTAAAGGAGTTTTTTGTGTGGATTTCTTTATGAATAAGTATCTATTGATGAGCTTATTTGTAAAGACCCCTTATATATAAAGATACCATTTATTCCTATAAACAAATATTTAGTTTATGTGGTCTGCTTGGTTTAAAATTAATGAATATAGGCGATTTCTTTTCTTGATCATGACGTGGAGGTAGGGGTGGAAATCAGACGAAATCGATCGGAAATACCTTTTTCGGAAATTTTCCAATTTATTCGGAAGTTAAAAATAGGTTCCAATTTCCGTTCCAAAAAAATCGGAATTTCAAAATCCATTCCAATTTCGGAATACCTCGGAATTGGCGGAATTTCGGAATTTTTGGAAATTGCATTAATCCTTTTTGTTCCACAATCGGAAATAATAGTAATTTTAAGATTTTATTTCCTAATATTTTCGTAATTTTCCGGCAAAATGCAAGAATCCAAAACAAAGATCAATAGGATGAAATGTAAACACTTGTAAAAAGAACATAATCAGTTATTCAAAACAAACATAGTTCTTGCAAAACACGAATAGAAAAACAATTCAGAAATATAATATATATATATATATATATATATATATATATATATATATATATATATATATATATATATATATATATATATATATATATATATATATATATATATATATATATATATATATATATATATATATATATATATATATATATATATATATATATATATATATATATATATATATATATATATATATATATATATATATATATATATATATATATATATATATTATATTTCGGAAATAAAATCGGATCGGAAATCGGAATTCCAATAATTTTATATGTAATTCCAATTCCATTCCAAAAGTAATCGGAAAAATCGGAAATCGAAATATCAGAAACCGGAATGAAAAAAAAGTTTCCAAATTTGAATATTTTCGGATCGGAATTGACGGAATTCAGAAATTCGGTTCCAATTCCCACCCCTACATGGAGGTCACCCACACAAGCATTTAATTAAAAAAGAGATACTGAATGTTTCTTTTTTTGGCAAATAAATCCACCCATACCTAATTGTTATGCCAAGATGACACTCAACCTTTTAAAGTCACTTAAATCATGATTATAAGGCATTCTTTAACCCCCCTACTTCATCAAATCACGAATGTTGACATTGACCTAATTTTAACTGCCACGACAGTTGACTTTTTTATTTTACGTCCGTCACAGAAAAAAGTGTTAATCTTTTTTAGTGTTACTATGAAAATTATTGTTTTTTTGTGAAAATAAATGTAAAAAAACATTTACTGCTATTAAAAAAAACACATTTGTTTGGCCATTTTAGATTGTTTATCAGTATCATGGACGATTTGAAAGAAAAATTTCAACTCTTCAATTCATAAAGAAGTATTATAAACATGAGAATTATTGAACAATATAAGTCATACGGTATTACTAGGGGTGAAAGTTGGAACGGAAATTCTAATTTCCGCCGGTTCCTATCCGAAAACCTTCAATTTTGGAACCAACTTTTTTCCATTCCGACTTCTCAAATTTCGATTTCCAATTTTTTTTAAATTGGAATTGGAATTATATAAAGAGAATTGGAATTTTCGATTTTCGATCTGATTTAATTTCCCAAATAAATTTTGTTTTTTTCCCCGAAAAATACCCCTATAAATAATATATATTATATAATACTTATATTAAGTTTTTTTTTTCTCTGAAACAGTTATTTGATTTAAGTTTTGTTTTAGGATTTTGGCATATTGAATTGTTCTTAGAAGTTTTATTGCATACTATGATGTGGTTTATTTTTATTTATTTTTTGAACTGAAATTTAGTAGTTATTAGTTTCACTTTTATCGAAGTGGGTGTTCTTATTTTTGGAAAATTATGAATATCAAAAAACAAAAAACCCCTCTAAGTTTTGAAATTTTAAAACTTATGCGATTTTCGAAATTTTTCCGAAATTTCCGGGCTTTTTGGAATTTGAATGAATTATTAGATTCCAAAACTTTTGGACTTGGAATTAATTTTGTACTTCCAAATTTTTTGAAAATTTTCCCAAAACACTTATTCCAATCCAATCTATCCGACTTTCACCCGTAGATATTGCAAGTGAGGATAGTTCTTAGATTATATAAGATCTAGAGTTCGGACCCCAATCATGTTTTCATAGAGAGTGAAAATGAAGACTTTTTTTTGACAGGCTAATTTAATAGGGGTAAATATATTTATTCTTCTAACTAGGTATTGAGTTTGAGCTTAATGCAATTACTACCCTTGTAAAAATTGCAACAGTGTATTTTTCCCCTGTCATAAAAAAGTTAGCAAATACCCCCTGTATTTATGTTTAGATAGCATACTCGACCCATTTCCCTTTTTCCCGTTGACTGGTTGTTAAAGGACAAAAATACCCTGGGGAGGTTTCTGCAAAAAAATTGGGAACCAAATTGAATTACTAAAAAATTGTAGAAACTTAATCAAATAATAAGTTAGGAGACTGAATTGTAATTTTCTGGAAAATACATTATATTTATAAAATTATGGGAGCTGAAAATACTATTTTGGGAAAAAATATCGTCTTCACCAAATTTCTTCTTCCCATTGAAATCGCCACCACTACCAACAAACTCCCACAACATGTCTCCTCCGCTCTTCTCGCCGCAGACACCTCGTTGCCGTTTCTGTGGCTAGGAAAATGCGGATTAATCGACAAGAGACATCTTCTGGTGCTGCAGAAATTGATCGCCTGGTGCGCGTTTGTTGGAAGTTAGTTTGCAGGTGATGGAGTTGAGAAAAATTGACGAAGAGGAGAGGTGTTTGGCGCCCTCACAAACCCGATTCTGCCATAAGAGAACGGTGTATATTGCGGCAGAGAGTGGTGGTGGTTTGGTGTCCCCGCCATGGATGATGGCCGAGAATGGTGGTGGTTTTATTTGAGAAAATTGGATATTATTCAATTAATTATTTTTTAATTTATACCGACTACTTATTAAAAAGTAAAGGAAAAAAAGAAAGAAAGAAAATAAGTTGGGGGCAATTCTGTCATTTCAAGCAACAAAAGAGGAAGAAAAATCGCACAAACCGCGAGTGAGACACACGATTTGCGACAAGGGAGTTTTTTGCCTTTTTGACTAATAAATGAAGGGGGGTGGTATTTGGGAATTTTTTTATGACAGGTGAAAAGTTGCGATTTTCACAGGGGTAGTAAATGTAATAAGCTCTATTGAGTTTAATTGTTCGTTTATTATTAAGGGCCTATTACAAATAAGTCCATCATGGGCTACTTATTCATAAAGGGGTCCAGACAAATGTTTTTTTACAAAGAAGTCCAGACATTGTCCATAGGTGTGGTAAAAACTAAAATACCCCCTCATATTTTAATACGCTTCAATTTCATCCTTTAATTCAATTTAACCCCAAATTTCACCAATTTTCAATTTTGGCCCATAACCCAATTTTGAGTACAATTTCGTCCGTCGCCGACGTTAGCTTTTTTATTTGTTTTTATTATTATTTTTTATTTTTTTTATTATGTTTGCTTATTCTGCCGGTTTCCGGCGTTGACTTTTTTCAAATTTTTATTTTATTTTATTTTATTGTTTTTCTTCTTTCTGCCGCCACTGGCCGACGGCGTTAATTTTTTTTTTTGATAACTTTTTTTTTCTTCAACATTTTTTGGCCCGTTTAAACAATAATATTGTTGTGGGTGACATTGATATTAACTACATTACTATTTAACGCAATAATATTAACAATATTACAGTTTAACATAGTAATATTGTTATATACTCTCTAACAAAGTAATATTAACACAACAAAAATCACTATTATTATGTGATAGAGTAATATTAATATGTTGACCGTTCAACAAATGCAAACATAATAAAAACCAAAAGAATTAATATTGATGTGGTTAATAGTAATATTAATGTCAACCACAATAATATTACTGTAACAGCAGTAATATTACCGTCAACCACAATAATATTATTGTGTTGACAATAATATTATCGTTGACAATACATTTACATAATTGTACTGTCGTTGACAACACATCAATTTATTATTTTTTTGGATTTTTTTATTTTGTTTGATTTGTTGACAAGTCAACGTAATAACATTATTGTCATTGACGGTAAAATTACTGTAAACACAATAATATTATTGTCAACTACATCAAGATTATTTTTTTGACCTTTTTTATTTTATTTGATTTGTTGACCGATTAACGTAATAATATTACTGTCTACTATTGTAATATTACTATAAACACAATAATATTACTGTGGTTGACGGTACTATTAATGTCGTTACAGTAATATTACTGTGGTTGACAATAATATTACTGTCAACCACATCAATATTATTTCTTTTGGCTTTTTATTATGTTTACCGCTGCTGTTATACGGTCAACATATTAATATTACTCTATTGCACAATAATAGTGATTTTTGTTGTGTTAATATTACTCTGTATAAAACAATATTAATGTGTTAAACTGTAATATAATTAATATAACTGTCAACCACAACAATCTTACTGTTTAAAGGGGCCAAAAAATGTTGGAAAAAAGTTTTGAAAAAAAAATATTAATGTCGGAAACCGGCGGTCAACGGCGGCGACGCGCGAAATTGTACTTAAAATTGGGTTATGGGTCAAAATTGGATAGTTAGTGAAATTTGGGGTCGAATTGAAGTTAAATTGAATTAAGAATTAAATTAGAGTATATTAAAATGTGAGGGGGTATTTTTGTCTTTTACACACCTCAGAACAATCTATGGACCCCTTTATACATAAGTAGGTCATAATCAACTTATTTGTAATAAACCTGTTTTTTGTTTATTATTATTGACATGGAATTTAGATGATTGCTAAAGGGTGAGTACTTCAATATTTAATGGCCGACTACATCAATTATTTTTAAAAACAATTGTTGTAAAATAAAGCCCATTAGCTAAGCATAATGAATATACATAACAATTACGCGAGTGAACGGAAGCTAGAGCAATATACATATATAAAGAATTGCCTACATATATATGCCAACAAAATTCATGGTATTATCCAATATAACAAAAACATAAAGTAATATAGAGAATAATGCTATGGTAATCGAGCATAAGAAAGTCAAGGAAAGACTGATTTTATTTCATCACTTTGTACACTATTTATACACAAATTTGGGATTAGTCACTAGTACACTTGTCAAATATTGCCTAACCATTACTAAGTACTTGACACGTGTGGAGCACTTGTACAAGAATGAGAAAGCCATATGGTCCCCTGTAATGCTAAAGTCTAAATGCATTTATAATACTCCCCCTTGGATTTAGCACTATTATATTGGTTGTAAATTTGGATCAATGAAATTGATGCCTCATTAAAAATCTTGAGCCAGAAAATCCAGTGGGAAAAACTGGTCGGAAGGAAAAAAAAAAAGTGCATAACTCAAATTCAAGTCACGTGTATAAGCTGCCTCGTTAAAAACCTTAATTGGAAAATCCAATGGAATAAGAACCATTCGTAAGGGAAAAAAATATTGCTCCCCCTGGAATCAGCTATGTAAGCCCCCGATATGGGCTGTCAATCTATTTTCTGGTTGTCTTATTAAAAACTTTGAGCTGGAAAACCCTATGAAAAAAAACCAGTCAAAAGGGAAAAATAGTACAACCATAGTATTATGTGCTCCCCTTGAAACATATAATATAAGCTTCCAAAATAGTCTATTTGAACGGGTATAAGTTGCCTCGTTCAAAACCTAATTTTGCTAAAAAAAAGGATAGACCGTTTAGCACTCTGTGTAATTATCATGGACATAATATAGTGGATATGTGTTACAAGATACATGGTTATCCTCCAGGATATGCCACTAGGAGATCTTCTTTGCCTCCTACTAGGCCTCATGCTATTAATCAGGCCAGTATCACTGAAATTGCAGATGCTCCCAATCCAGCTGAACCTGTATCAATGGACAATTTGCTTCAATCTTTGAGTTCTTCCCAGTGTCAACAACTCATGACACTCTTTGATTCCCAGCTCACTCTTGATCAAGGCTCCAATTCTCATCACTTTTCTACCTCCAATAATGTGACTTGCTGTGTTTCAGGTAATATTCAAGGTAAGTCTCTTCATCTTCATAAACTTAGTTGTATTTTAGATTCAGGGGCTTCTAGACATATTAATAATGATAAGTCATTATTTTCTACCTTGAGACATGTTTACAATGCCTCTGTTCTTTTTTCAGATAATACCTGTTTTCCAGTACATGAAATATATTGGAGATATTTCCTTAAATAATATCACACTATATGAGTTTTTTTATATTCCTAATATTAAATTTAATCTTATGTATGCCAGTGCTCTGTTATAGTTATCCGGAAACAACATAGTTTTGTCTTGTGATGGCTTTGTTTTACAGGATCAAAGCCAGAAGATGATTGGCAAGGATAAAAAAGTTGATGGTCTTTATGTTTTAGACATAGATCATTGTACTTCACCTTTTTTTTCCTTGTAATGCAGTTTCTGCATCCATTTTGGCACAATAGGTTAGGCCATCTTTCCAGTACCAGTCTTGATTGCCTTAAATCTTTGCTTTCTATTTCTACTAAAGACAGTTGTAAACTCGATCCTTGTTATATTTGTCCATTGGCATAACAAAGGAAATTATCCTTTGAATCAAATAATCATGTTTCTGCTTTTCCCTTTAATTTAATTCATTGTGACATTTGGGGTCCTTACAACACTGCTTCTCACACAGGTCATAGATACTTTGCTACTATAGTTGATGATCATAGTAAATATACATGGATATGTTTACCGAGGCAAAAATCAGATATTACATACATTCTAATTTTTTTCCAAATGATTTCAACCCAATTTGGGGCTCAAATCAAGCCTTTCAAATCAGACAACGCTCATGAACTGCTTTCACTCAATTTTTTCATGATTTAGGTGTGGTTCATCAGTGTAGTTGTGTTCAAAAAATCAACACTTGCTCAATGTTGTTAGAGCACTATATTTTTAGTCTCATATTCCTATACAATTATGGTTATAATATATTTGGACTGCAGCTTATCTTATAAACATAATTCCTTCTAAGATTTTACAGGGATCTACACCTTATCAGAAGCTAGACAATCAACCATCTCCTTATGGCATGCTGAAAGTGTTTAGTTGCTTAGCCTTTGCCTCTAATCTTTCTCAATCCATAACTAAATTTGATCTAGGGCAAGAGTTTGCGTCTGTATTGGATATCCTACAGGCATGAATGCATAAAAAAATTATGATATTCAAACCAAAGAAGTCCTCATATCAAGAGATATTATCTTTCATGAAACTGTATTTCCATTTTCTTTAAATAAAAATTTGGATTCTGTTTTTACTCATGATCCTTTTGAAGATATATATAGTACTACCTTTTTCTGATGCTTCTCTACCTCCTGTACACCTTCATGAAGACTTATCAATAAATCTTTATGTTTTTGAGGATCATACATCTGCCTCTCAATCACCAGATCCTCCCATCCAGACTTCTACAACCATTGCTCTTCTTCACAGAAGATGCTCAAGACAAGTTAAGAAACCAGGTTATCTTACTTCTTATCACTGCAATCAGGCTTCTGATACTGTCAAACATCCTTCATCTCAAGTCATAACATATGACAAACTATCTCCTTCTTATCATAATTTCATTATGAATATTTCTACTGATGTTGAACCCACTTTTTATCTTACTGCTGTGAAGCATGATCACTGGAGAACTGCTATGAATGATGAACTGCATGCTTTAGAATCTAATAACACATGCATTATTGTACCATTTTCAGAGGGTAACAAACCTATTGGCTCTAAGTGGGTGTACAATATTAAAACAAATTCGGATAGCACTATAGAAAGGTTCAACCAGACTTGTAGCTAAAGGATATAATCAACAAGAAGGTATAGACTATATGGAAACCTTTAGTCCTATAGCTAAACATGTTACTGTTAAAACCATCATTGCTTTAGCTGCATCTAAACACTGGCATATTCATCAGCTTGACATCAGTAATTATTTCTAAAATGGTGACTTGTTTGAAGAAGTGTACATGTGTCTTCTTCTAGGTTATAAACCTACTCTTTTTTCATGTTAATTCTTAGTCTCATAGACCCTTGGTCTGTAAATTGACCAAATCTCTATATGGATTAAAACAGGCTTCCAGGCAATGGAATGCAAAATTGACTGAAGTAGTTTTACTCTTGGTTTTACACAGTCCAAAACAGATTATACTTTGTTTACAAAAGGTTCTAATGATACATTTTTTGCCATTCTGGTCTATCTAGATGATATCTTGATTACATGACCTAATTCCACAACAATTTCTACACTAACACAATCCTTAACTACCTTCAATAAACCAAGAGATCCTGGTGCTTTAAAGCACTTTCTTGGCATAGAAGTGGCCAGATCAGCTCAAGGCATCTTCATTTCATAGAGGAAATACACCCTGCAACCGCTAGATGACTGTGGTAATCTTGGCCCTAAATCAACAGAACTTCCCACAGATTCCAACCGAAAACTAGCTTCAGACATTGGAGAGACTTTGCAAGATATCTCTTCTTATAGGAGACTTATTGGTCAGCTCCTTTACTTAACTACCACAAGACCTGGCATCTCATATTCAGTGCACAAGCTCAGCCAGTTTGTCTCCAAACCAACTCTAAAACATCTTCATGCAGCTCAACATATCTTGAAGTATCTCAAGGCAGCTCCATGACAAAGCCTCTTCTTCTCGTCCTCTTCACCAGCAATGTCTCTTAAAGCCTTTGCTGATGCTGATTGGGGTTCTTGTCTTGATTCCAGAAAATCCACTACAGTTTTTTGCATATTTATAGGAGAGTCCTTGTTCTCATGGAAGGCTAAGAAACAAGCAACAGTTTCTAGAAGCTCAGCTGAAGCAGATTATAGGGCTCTGGCTCCTTTAGCTAGTGAGCAAATATGGCTTCAACATCTTCTTCAGGACCTGCAGACAAACATCACCACTTCCGGCCACAGTCGCATACTATGATAACCAAGCAGCTATTCATCTTGCCAGCAATCCTATATTCCACGAGAGGACAAAACATGTTGAAATTGACTGTCACTACATTACATATCAAGTTCAAATTGGCATAATCAAGCTTCTTACAGTGAAATCCGAAAATCAGTTGGCATATCTGTTTACCAAGGCTCTACCGCGTTGCAAATCGTATTCGCTGTTGTCCAAGATGCCTGTTAGAGATATCTACCATCCATCTTGGGGGGGGGGGGGGGGGGGGGGGGGGGGTGTGTTTAAAAAAAAAAAAAATTAAAAAATGGGAATTTTTTTTTAAAAACCCCCTTTAAAAAGCCACCTCCCAAAAAACCCCCCTAAAAACCATTAAAACGGCCCTAAAAAAGGTAATTTTTAAAAAATTAAAACCCTAAAAAACCTTTAAAAACCCCCCTTTTCGGGAAACTTCCTCCTTTAAAAAAAAACCTCCTCTTTTTCAAAAAAACCCAACCCCTCCTTCCCCCGGGAAATCCCTAACCTAAAAAAACCCGAAAAAGGGTTTCCCAAAAATGGGCCCAAAAAGTTTAAAATCCCTAAGGAAACATTTCACCAAAAAGCCCCAAACCCCCAACCTAAATTTAAAAATTGGCCGAACCTTTTAAGCCCCCAAAACGGAATTTTTTTCCCCAACTAAAAATTTTCCCTGAAAATTTATAAAGAATTCCCGAAAAGGGATCCTTTTTCCCAAAAATTTTGGGAACCAAAAAAAAAAAAACCACCAAAAGGGGGTCCAATTTTTTAGGTTTTGCCAAAAAAAAAAAGGGACAAAAAGCCCAAAAACCATCCCCCCCAAAAAAATCCATTTTTTAATTCTAAACCCCAAATCCTCCCAATATAAACCAACCCCCCCCACCTTTTCCAAAAGTTAGGGAAAATACCCAATTTAAAAGT